TATCTTGAGCCAATCTCACTCTCTCCAACACATCTATCTGCACTGTAAGAGTTACTGTGTCAATCTATCTCATCCAGAGTCTTCTTCCTTTCCTGTGCTGTTCATCTATCCTTCCAAGCATGATGTCCTTCTGCAAGGGCTGGGCCCTCCTGACAATGTATCAAAATATGTGAGACAGAGCTTCAAAATCCTTGCTTCTAATAAGCAACTTGGTTTCACCATCTCCAGGACATAGCTGTTGTTCTCTTGGCAGTCCATTGAATGGTTAATACTCTTCTCCGGAGCAAGATCTTCAAGACATCAATCCTTCTTCCATCATCCTTAGTCATTGCCCAGCTCTTTGATGCATAGCAAATAATTGCAAAAACCATGGACTGGATCAGGTGCACCTTAGTCTCTAGACTAACATCATTGCTCTTCAGCGCTCTGCAGAGGTTCCTGATAGTAGATTTTCCCAGTGCAATTCTGCCTTTGATTTCCTAAGACTGCTGGTGCCAAGTATGTTGATTGTGGAACTGAGCAAGCTGATGCTAACAATTTCAGTCTCTTCATCTATCATGGTGCTGCCAATTGGTCTAGAGGTGAGAATCTTTGTTTTCTTGACGTTGAGCTTCAGTCCACATTGGAGACTGTAGTACTTGACCTTCTGCAGCAAATGCTTCAGAGTTTCCTCAGTTTCAGCAATTTAGGTAGTATCATCTGCATAATAGGGATTGTTGATGAGTCTTTCTCCAATCCTGATGCCACATTCCTACTCATAAAGCTTAACCTCCTGAATGATCTGTTCCACATATAAATTGAAAGATATGAAGACAGGCTAACATACTTCTTTCCTGATTTTTTAGATAGGCAGTGATTCCTTGCTCTGTTCTGACAACTGCTTTCTGGTCCAAGAATAGATTTTGAATGAGCATAATCAGGTGTTCTGGGATTCACATTCTTCTCAATGTTAGCCAGAATTTGTTATAATCCACACAGTAAAAATGCCTTTGCATGGTCAATGAAACACAGATAGACATTCTTCTGGTAATTCTCTGCTTTCAGCCAAGATCTGAAACAGCCTTTACATAATTAATGATCTTTCTCTGGTACTCGTTTCTTTCAGCCAAGATCCATCTGTCAATAGCAATAATATCTCCAGTGTTACAATGTCTTCTAAACCCAGCTTGTATTTCTGCTAGTTTTCTGTCAATATACTGTTCCAGTTGGGTTGGAGTTGTTTTTGTTTGTTTGTTTGTTTTTTGTTTTTGTATTTTAATAATATCCAGCAGGATTTTTTTGGCATGTGATAGTGATATTGTTCAAAACTTTGTATACTCTGTCAGATCACCTTTTTGGGGGAATAGGAATAAATATGGATCTCTCCCAGTCACCTGGCCAGGTAGTTGTCCTCCAGATTTCTTGGCACGACCAGGTGAGCACCCCTGGGGCAGAATCTGTTTTATGGAATATGTCAGTTGGTATGCCATCAATTCCTGGAGCCTTGTTTAATTGCCTATTCCTTCACAGCAGCTTGACTTCCTCCTTTACCACCATTGCCTCTCGATCATATGTTATTTCATGGAAGTATTTTGTGTCAGAGAATTATTTTTAATATAGTGACTCTGTATACTTCTTCCATACTCTTTTGAGGCTTCCTGGATCATTCAATATTCTGCTCATAGCATCCTTAAATATTGCAACTAAAGGCTTGAATTTGTTCTTCAGTTCCTTCAGCTTAAGAGATGCTGAGTTTGTCCCTTTTGATTTTCCAACTCCAGCTCTTTGCACATTTTGTTATAATATTTTGTTTAGTCTTCCAGAGCTGCCTTTTTAAATCTTCTGTTTATCTCCTTAACTTTCTGACTACTTCTCTTTGCTTTGACTTCTCGATGTCCTAGTACTATCTCTGCAGGGTATTCTTACATCTATCTTGGTCTTTTCTTCCTCCTCTCTCTTTGTAATTGCCTTTTGCATTCTTCATGGTTGATGTTCTTGATATACTCACACAGCTTTTCCAGTCTTCATTCATTAGTATTCAAGGCCTCAAACCTTTTCTTGAGATGGTTATTAAATTAAGGTGGGATACACTCAAGGTCAAATTTTGGCTTTTGTGGATTTGCTGGATTGGTTATCCACTTCTGAAAAAACAGGCCTTCCAAAACTCTATGTACAGTAGAACACACTTAAGGTAGACTAGCAGATATGGCACCAGAAGCTGAGGCCTTGTATTGGGAAGCACAAAGGAGGAAGAGCAGTTGCAAGCAGACACTAGTGAATGAAACTTGGAATGTGAGAAGGAAACTGAGGAAAATTGAACATTTTTGAGGAAGAAATGTTGTTGTTGTTGTGTGTATCGTAGAGTCGTCGCCAACCCATAGCTGACCCTCCAGCAGGTTTTCAGAGGCAGTTAATCACATGGGAGGAGATTACCCATCCTCCTTGGAGTAGCTGGTGGCCTCTATCCATGTGCCTTCAGATTTACAGTGCAGTGTCTTGCCTCTAGGCCACCAGAGCTCATAAATATTGAAAAAGAGCACATAAATATTGGCATACTAGACAGTGGTCAAATGAGACAGATTGGCATGAGACATTTTGAATAAAACAATCACATGATCTACTATGCCAGAAACGGAAAGGTGAGGAAAAACGGGGTGGCATTTGTTTCTCTAATTGCACAGTTAAAAAGGCCATTTCTAGATCTGTCTTGAAATACAATGTAGTAAGTGAAAGGATAATATCCATATACATACAAGGAAGACCTGTTAATACTTCTGTCACTCAAATACATGCACCAATAACCAGAGTAAAAGAGGAGGAAATAGACAATTTCTGTCAACTACTGTGGAAGGAAATCAATTGAACATACAAACCAAGATGCCTTAATAACAATGGGTCACTGGAATGCAAAAGTTGAGAACAAGGAAGAAGGATCAGTAGTCAGAAAATATGGACTTGGGGACTGAAATGAGGCTGGAGATAGAATGGCAGGATTTTGTACAATCAGTGCTTTAATCATGGCAAACACTTCTTTTAAGGAACACAAATTGTAACAATACACATGAACCTCACCTGATGGTTCTCATGCAGGAGTCAGAGTGATTACATCGGTGGATATAATCACTCAGGAATCATTACTTACATCAAACTGTACTCTCAGAAAAATTGAGTTGCTTATATTTGTGGAAAGAATCTTGGAGAAGCTCAATATCAGCCATGAAAACTAGGTCAGGTGCTGATTATGGAACAGATTATTGACTACTCATGTGCAAGTTCAAGCCAAAGCTAAATAAAATTAAAACAAATCTCCAAGATTACCAGAGTCAAGTGATGACAGTAGATTTTTGTGACTTGCATGTGTATTTTCCCTTTGTTGATCAGGGTGTTTTTAATGACAATTAGATCCTGCTGGGGAATGCAATAGTTTAATTCTTTTATTTGTTTGTTTTTCCTCTATCTACGTATTTGATTAATTATTAAGAGAAGATTATTGAAGTCTTAAACCATATAGATTTACCTAGTTCTTCCTTTAGTTGTGAGTTTTTTTCTTAAAGTATTTTGCAAATCTATTCTTTGGATCATAAACTTTTAAGACTGTTATGTCTTCTTGAGGGAGCTTTGGTGACACAGAACGTAAGGAGTTATGCTGCTAATCAAAGACAGAGCTCCTTTATTGGTTCAAATCTACATGCAGCTCCAGTGGAGAAAGATGAACCAATTCCTCACATGCTATGTACAGCTTCAGAACCCCAATGAAGGGTCGACTGTGAGTCAGTTCTCACTTGATGACAATGAGTGAGTGTTTTTTTTTATGGTTGAATTCACCTGGTGATTTTCTTTGCTCTGAATACTACTAATTTCATATTGCTATAATAGCCACTCTAAAAATCTACCAAATATGCCTCTATTTTGACTAGAATTTGCATAATATATATTTTTCTATAATCCTCTCACCTCATTTTTTTCCCCAGTCAGCTTTGAGGCACTGTGAATTATGGAGAAGATAGCCAGTGGTGGGGTTGACGGTGGGAGATGGAATTGCTGATAAGGTAGAATCAAACAGATCAACACGGAGTAACATGCAGTAAGGAAAGTGCTTCTCCCACCAACCCTACATTCTCTTAGTCATGTGGATCACCAGTTACTGTGAACTGGGAAAGTGACCTCAAGGAAAAAAGCCAACATCTTGAAAACATCACAGCACTTGCCTGGATCAGCTTCAAACTGAAAATCTACAAAGCAGACCTCCCTGTACGTCTGTTTGGATTGTACCAGCATTTCCCACATCAAAGACTGTCAGATGCAGTCTTGCTGCGTGTTGCTAACAAAAGACCTGGGCAGGGAGTCTGTTTTCATTGTTAATACTCCACCTATCACATTGTGTGCCCTGTAGATCATTTATTTGTTGTTTTAGGTTTGGTTTTGTTTTTTTAAAAACAAAACAATAGAAAAAACAAAACAAAACTCTGTATTTTCTTTCCAAGTCTAAAATTTTTTATCACCCTAAACAGGAACTTGAGCAATAATTCCCTGTAGCCCCTTTGTAATCACTGATATGCCTTTTCCTCCCAAGAATGATTCTACATGTGTTGAACTTTCCTTAGCTTTTAATAATAGTGGTCTTACAAGAGACCCTTTGTGACTGACTTCTATTTCTCAGCAAAATTTGTTTTAGATTCATTCATGTTGTGTAACAGTTCATGAAGCCTTCATAGCTTTTAGTGATGCATAATATTCCACTGTGTAAATGTACCACCGTAGTAGTACTCCATTGTATGAGTACAGCAGCCTCTTTAGCCGTTGATGAACACTTTGTTTCCAGTACTTTGCTATAATAACTAATACAATGATAAACATGAGTGTGTGAATGTCAACTTGTGTCCCATCTTTTACTTCATCCTCACCATCTGTGCAACCCTTTATACCCAATGTTGTAATTACTGTCAATCCATCTCATTGAGGTTTTTTTTTCTCTTTATAGCTGATATTTGTGTATTCAACTGCAGCTAACTCTTTTTCAGCTTGTGAACAAATATGGAAACATGATAAGTATGGATATTGGGCGTGTACGCAACGTTATCGTAACTGGATTGCCCTTAATCAAAGAAATCCTTGCAAACCCTGACCACCGTGTTGTGAACCGCCCCATAATGCCTCTCCAAGAGCGCATCTTTAAGAAACATGGTAAGTTTCTTGACTAATGGAATGTGTGTTTGATGCTTTTTAGGCTGTTAAGTGTCTTTCTGAGCCTTACTTCTTGAACACTGTCAGAGATCAGGTTTATTATCAATTCCTACCATTGAATGATGATCCATGTCCATGGTTCTCAAGTTAATGCACCTGCTGTTAAGATGTGAAGGGAACTGCATTGCTAACCCAATGGCATGTAGTTCAAATACACCAGCTTCTCCCCAGGAAAGATGTGCAGTCTCCTTCCATGCAAGTTACAGCCTCTGAAAACCCACTAAAGGATCAGCTAGGAGTCACTTCTGACTCAGCTGCAACAAGTTGTTGTTATTGTTTGATTTTGATGTGAGGATTTGGCATCTTCAGCTGTACGGTCAGGTATCTGGAAAAAGCTGCACCTTCTTTAGAAACTCACTCTGGATCTTTGATAGTTAATGGGCATTCTTTTTCCATGTGATTTACCACCTCTGAAAATCCACTGGAGGGTCAGCTATGAGTTTTTCGACTCAATAGCACACAACAACAGCCACTTCATGATAGCACAAGGAGAGGTAACACATTCTCTCACCCTGCTCCCCCATTCCAAACTTCTTGTGCACAGAAAAGGAATGAAGAAAGATCATCTGCTTCTTCCTCCTTGCCTTCAGCTCCTTATGCTTCATCATTAAGATCTTAATGGTGTCTTTTAAGGATGATCTTAAGGATATCTCGAAATTTCTAGTCTATCATAGCCTGAGGCACATCAGAAAAAGCTAGCAAGAACATTTTATGTTATTACTGTTTAAAAGATGTAAACATTTGAAAATTTACATTAAAACTCCCAACCTATTCATTCTTGTACCAAAAATACCTTCCCCCCCCAAAAAAAATGCTCCCCAGTGTGAGCTATGATGACCTAGTGGTAAGAAGCTGCACTGCAATGCCAAAGGCTTGCAGTTTGAATCCATCAACAGCTCCATGAGAGAAGGATGCACCTTCTCCTTCCTTCAGATTTACTGCCTCTGAAAACCCGCTGGAGGGCAAGTAAGAGGTTCCCATTCTCTTCAAGGTTAGCCACAGTCTGTTGTGCTCCACAGTCAAAAATGCCTTTGCATTGTCAACGAAACACAGATAGACATTCCTCTGGTCCACTCTGTTTTCAGCCAAGATCCAAGTAATGTTGGTTAGATGTCCCTAGTGCTACAACCTCTTTTAAACCCAGTTTGTGTTTCAAGCAGTTCTCTATAGATGTGGTGTTCCAGTAATTTTTTTAAATAATCATCAGCAGGATCTTGGTTGTATGTGATATAAGTGATATTGTTTGATAATTTTCACACTTTGTCAGGTTACTGTTTGTTGGGACTAGGAATAAATATGGATCTCTTTAAATCAGTTAACCAGAAGGTTGTCCTCCAAACTTCTTGGCACAACCTGGTAAGCACATCCAGAGCTACATCTGTTTGTAGTTTGTTGTTGTTGTTTTAATATGTCTAATAAAATATGTTTTTAAAATAAATTGGTATGTCATCAATTCCTAGACCCTTGTTTTTGGCCAGTTCCTTCATTATCATTGCCTCTTGGTTATATGTTGTTTCAATTACATTTTTCTATGTTGAACCTTCACAAGAAAAAAGACTGATAACACAAGTACAAAATAGGCAAAAAATAAAATAAAATTTTAAGAGTCCACAAAACTGGGAAAAATGCATACAAAGACCTTTTACAGAGGAAGATATTTGATGACCAACAGAGGCAAATCAGGAACTCTTATACATTGTTGGTGGGATTGTAAAATGGAACAATCACTCTGGAAGGCAGTTTGAAATTTCCTCATAAAGGTGAACATAGAAATTCCATATAACCCAGCTATTCCACTGCTTGAAATATACCCCAAGAAAATGAGAACTGAGGCACAAATGGAGACTTGTACACCAATGTTCATAGTAGTAGCATTGTTCACCATAGCAAGAACATGGAAACAACCCAAATTTCCAGCCACAATCAAACATATTGATAAATTATGGTTCATTCACATGATGGAATCCTATGCAGCATGCAGGAGCAATGATTTTATAAATTACTACTTAACTTGAGAGGCCCTGGAAAACATTATGCTAAGTGAACTAACTCAGTCACATAAGGACAAATACAGTATAAAACCATTATTGTGCAATAAGCCATTACTGCACAATGAGCATGAGGATCTTCAGGGGGTGGTGAGGCAGATGGTGGGAGCAGAGGGATGAGGATGATGAAGATGGGCGGGGAGGGGGTGGAGGTGATTAATCATGGGGTCGTATAATTTGATGGGTGGAGGAAGGGTTGGGTAAAGGAAATGGGAAAGATCTGATGTGAAAAACAATGTATACAAACTTTGTAAGTAAACCAGTATAAAAAATATCTATATTTTAAATAATAAAATTCATCTGTGTCAGCTCATTCGTTTTGGTATGTGATTCTGTGAACTCCTTCCATCTTCTTTTAATGCTTCCTCGATCATTTGATATTCTTTCATAGTCTCCTTGAGGTTTGAATTTGTTCTTCAATTCCTTCAAGCTTAAGAAATCCCAGAGAGTTCATTCCTTTTGATTTTCCAACTCCAGCTCTTTGCGTAGTTCATTATAGTACTTTGCTTGTCTTCAGGAGCTGCTCTTTGTAATCTTCTGTTCATCTTCTTAATTTCCTAAATCCTTTCCTTAGCTTTGGATTGTTGGTGCCCTATTACAATATTAAGAGGGTCTTCTGATACCCATTTTGATCTTCCCCTTCTGTCTTTGTAATGACCTTTTGCATTCTTCATGGATGCTATTCTTGATATCCTCCACAGCTCATCTGGTCTTCGCCATTAGTAGTGCTCAAGATTGCAAACCTTTCCTGCGATGGTTTTTAAATTCAGGTGGAGTAGATTCAAGGTAAAATTTTGGTACTTGTGAATTTCTTTTTATTTTCTTTAGATTTACTTTGAACTTGCATAGGATAGTTGATGGTCTGTTCCACAAGGAGCACCTGGCCTAGTTTTCACAGCTGATACAGAGCTTCTCCAGTGATTCTTACCACATATTTATATTAATTCTATTCTATTTATTATAATAATTCTATCATATTATATTAATTCTATCATATATCATATCATACCATGCCATACCATACTATACTAAATTATTCTCAGTGTATCATCAACTCGGAACTGACTCAGAGCTGATGGTCCAGCAGGTTTTCAGAGGCAGCGAGATGCTCATCCTTCTCCTGTGGAGCAGCTCGTGGATTTTAACCATATATACTGGACCAATCGGTAGCATCAGGATGGATGGCGAAGAGATTGAGATTGTTCACAGCTTCAATTTGCTCGGCTCCACGGTCAACACTCTTGGCACCAGTTGCCAGGAAATAAAAAAATGTATCGCGATGGGAAAGTCTGCGGTTAGGGACCTCTCC